TCCAGCAGGGATGCGTGACGTGTTTTGAAGGAGTGAATGGAGACGAAATGGTTTTTTTAAAACTTGACGTGTTTTTTGGAGTGTGAGCAAAGTAAAGTTTTTTGAAGGGGTTTTTAGGGAAACCGGCAGGCCCACTTGAGCCTGGAGTGGGAAGTACAGTGCCCCCCCTCTGAAAGGAGGGGGTTTAATGTTGCAGTTTTAAAAAAAATGAGGTAAAGCACCCTTCTGGCAAAAACAGGGATTGGAAATGAATGATGGTAAAAATTTTTTTTTTTTTTCGGCCACCCGCCTTGGTGGGAATCGGCCAGTGTGATAATAAATAAATAAATATATATTTTATAATATAATATTATATATATATTATATATAAAATATATATATATATATATTATAAAATATATATATATAATATATTAAATATTTAAAAATTAATTAAAAATATTTAAAATAATTAATTTTTAAATTTTTTTTTTATTTTTAAAAAATATATTTTTTTAAATGGGAATTAAAAAATTTTTTAATTTTTTCCCAAAAAACTTTGAAAATTTTATTTTTTTTATAAAAAAAGAAAAAATTTTTTTTTTGCCAAAAATCTAAAAATTTTAAATTTTTTAAAAACAAACAATTTTTTTTAACAAAAAATAATTTTAAAAAATTTTTTTTTGTTAAGCCCCAAATGATTTTTTTTTTTTATTCAAAAAATTTTTTCTTTCATAAAAAATTTTCTTGCCCTATTTTAGCCAAAGCCAAACGCAAGTTCTGCCTATTCGGCCCCCGACATTAAAATTAAATAAATATATATTTTATTAAAAAAAATAATTTTAAAAACAAAAATTATATATATAATTTTAATAAATATTTTAAAATAATTTAAAAAAATATTTGAATAAAAAAAAAAAATATTTTTATTTTTTTTTAATTTTTAAATTAATTTAAAAAAAATTTTGGTTTGGTTTTGCCCCAAAAAAAACCCCCGTTTAAAAAAAAAGGTATTTAATTTTTCTTTTCTTTTTGTCCTATAAAACTTAAATTTTTGGAAAATTTATCTTTTTAAAAAATAAAAAATTTTCAGGTTTTTTTAAAAAAACCCCCAACCCGTTTTTTTAACCCCCAGCCTTTTAAAAAAAATGTATTTTTTATATTTTAAAAAATTTAAAAAAAATTTATAAAAATTTTAATTTTATAAAAAAAAAAATATTTAGGATTTAATTTGGTTCCCCATTTAAAAAAAAATTAATTTTAAAAAAGGGGGGAAATTGGTTTTTTTTGAAAATTTTTCGGGGGGGATAAAAAACCCTAAAAAAAGTAAAGTGTTAAAAAAATTTTTATTTATAAATTGTTTTTTTGGGGTTTCTTTAAAAAAAAAAGATTTTTAATTAATGTTAACCTTCTATGAAGAAGTTGGGTAAATAAAATTTTGGGGGGGAAAGGCCCCCCTTTTTTGGGGGTTTTTTTAAAAGGAAAAAACAAAATTTTTTAAAAAAAATGGAAAAAAAAAAAATTTTTGGATTTTTTTGTTGTTTTGAATTTGAGTAAATTTATGTTTTCATTTTTTTTTTTCCAGAAAGATTTTCCAGTTTGACCAATATAAAGAAAAAGAGGACAGAAAAGGGAGTTTTAAAACCCCCCAAAGGGAGGCGGGGGAAATTTTAATGATCTTTGGCAACCAAGGGGCCCCCTGTTTTTTAAATGTTGGAATTTTCACTTTTTTAAGAAAAAGGCAAACCAGGCTTATTTTATGGGAAAAAAAATTTTTGGATAAAGTTAGTTTTTAGAAAGTTTTTCTTATGACAAAGGGATTGAAAAAAAAAGGGAATTAAAGGGGTTGAAGAATGGCCCAATTAAGAACATAAAAGGGAAACACATTTTTTAAAAGTTTTTTGGGGATTGGAATAGAAAATTTTTTTTCAGTTTGGGGGATTTTTTTAAATGGGAAATTGATTTGGGGAAAAAAATATTTTTGGTTGTTTAAAAGAAAGAAAGAACTTTGTTTTGAACCAAAGAGGGGGAAAAATCTTTTAAGAAGTTAAAGAACCATTTTTTAAAGGGGTTGCTAGTAAAGGGTGGGGTTTAAGCCCGCCGGGTTTTGAAAAATAAAGAAAAAGGTTTTTAGTTCAATTATTATTTCGGGGGTAAGGGGGAGAGAAGTTTTCTATTTCCTTTCAAGGTAAAAGCAATTAAAAGGGATTTGGTGAAAAGACTGGGGGATTAAGTATATAAAATAAGACATGTGGGACATATATTTTTGGAGCCTTTCAGCAAGGTCAACATTAGTTTTAATATGTGTTTCCAAGATCGTACCGACCATGGGAGTTAGAAGTTTAAGAAGCCATTTAGAGAGGTATATGCTGCTAAGCCAACTGAACTTATAATAGACAGGCTGGGTACCCTGGCTTATGAGTCTTGATTATCCCATAAAAATATGGTAGAGTTGCCTACCTAGCTGACAGATGTTTAATTAATTTATCATATCTATTCAATAACGTTTTAAGGTGTTTATTGAAATAGCTGTTGACCTGGTCGGTGTGGGTTCCCAATGAGCGGTTCATACGTTTCATTATCACTCATTAAATGGTTCATTTTCCCTAAATATTCAGTTTTTTTCCAAAATAATAACTCTCTTTGATATATTACCTCTTGAGAGGTGCAGAATCTGATTATAATTGAGATCTTTGTAAGATTTTGTGAATCTTCATGGGCATTTGGGGAGCACTGGCTGGAGTAATATTCCGCATACCATAACTTTGCATTAATTAAATGTATCAGGTGTCAAGTCACCATGCTTTTCCAGCATGCAAAACGATTTTGTAAAGTTTACATAATTAACATCATTAGTTGTGGGTGCCAAGCTTAATCCAAACCCTAGAGCTGCCTGTTGGTCGCTACTTAATTCCTTGCTACACAAGTTTATAACGAGGTCCAGATTCATGTGTGTGTGGTCCAACCACTCTCTGCTATAAGATTATTCAACTTCCTAGTATGATTGCATTCGGCGTTTTGAAAACTAGGAATTTTGAACAGCTAAAAGGAAATCTGAATGTGATGCTTTCACAACTAAGAGACGAGCTTTGCCCTTTCTTGAAGCATTGTTGAGCATTGTGTTGGCAATTTTTCCATGATAAGTTTGCCCCCAATAAGACTGTTTGTGCTCTTTTTTGATGCATTGATTTTCTTGAGGAGTCTGCAAGGGTGTCCCACAGCATGGCTATTTCAATTATCCTGGGGTCGTGAGCTCCTCACACACCTCTCAAGCATTCGGAGACAATCTCCTTAACGAGTCCACTGGAAGCCAAACATGAGGACAAAAATGCTTTGCGCACCGAAAGAGTTGCTTGATCCCATTCCTGATCTTCCAGTGACAGAGTCAGTGCCTTCTTAAAGATAGAGCTCAGGAGTGAGTCATATTCGCTAAGAGTTGGGTTGTCGAGAGAGGGTGCGCACCTCAAGAAGTAAGTGAGTCTTGTCAGAGTAAGACACCTTGTGAAAAGGTAAAGAGCATCATGGGCATCAAGATCACTTATTCTCTCCTCCATCCTCTTGAGATCATTCAGTTTGTCCTTGAGGATTGTGTCGACGGCCCAATAGGATGCTTTTGGATGGGGAAGATTGTTCGCACAGTTATGATTATTTCCTGATTTGTTGTGATAAATTTTTTTTCCGTTGCAGGGAACCAGGATGAGTCCTAAGGTTTATCCCTGTGTCTTGACCAGTTGAAGGTCCTCTAGCAGGGACTCTTCTGTGCCTGCCATAGTACCATCATCCAGGTACCAGATATTGAACTCCCTGCACAAGTTGGAGGTTAGTTCTCTTACCACCAAGTAGAAGAGAAATAGAACGATTGGGTCACCCTGCTGAACACACTCTGAATATGGAATTTTATGCTTACCAAATAAGAGAATTGAGGGGTATCCTGTAGCCAGCTGAAATGAAGGGCAAAAACTGGGGGAACGGATCCTGAACAGCTGGCAAGGCCACACCTCTTTTAACCATATTAAAGGCATTTCTAAAGTCTAGTTTTTCTATGGCCTTGTTTTCTGGTAAGTCCCTGATGTAAGCCCTTGCTGCATGAGCTGCAGCTTCACTGCCTTGAGCTGGAGTAAACTGGTGGCTTCTATGTGAATGTTCCTTACTGCTGCTTTGGCTTCCTATAATGTCAGCTATAACTGACTTATAATTTGCCTACAGTTGAGGTCGGGTTTATTGAGCAGTAATCAGAGGGTAATGACTTATCTACTGCCTTAAAAATGGGAATTACATTTGCCATCTTCCACATCTCATGGACTACACGTTTGAAAAGATATTAAGAAAAATATTAAAGGGTTTATTAAGATTTATTTTGCACTGTTTAATAACCTTTGGCAATTATTTTGCTTTAATTGGTCTACTTGTTTCATTACCAAATCCATAATGAATCTGATATTACCAAATTTATTTTCTTCATGCCCAAAAAAGAAAATAATTATTTTGATGTCGTTTGTATCTTTTCGTGTGAAAACTGACAGAAAATAATTATGAAAAATCGAGCACATTTCATTCTCCAGAGTTAGCTTTAAGTGGACTTCAGTTTTTCCCTATAACCTTCGTAAATATATCTATAAAAACTCTCAGGTTTGTTTTTGAATCCCATCCAACTTTAATTTCATAGTCCTCTTGATCATCTCTTATCAACTCTTTTAACCTCTTTAATGTGAAAATATAAATTCTATAGATGACCCACACATTATTTGAAATATTTGTAAATTCCTTCTGCACTAAAATATATTTGAGCCTAGTATTCATCCATTTTGGATAATTTCAATTCAACCTTATTTTTTTATATGGAATAAATATTCTTTGGGCAGCGCGTACAGTGTTTAGAAAAAATGTCATGCTAATATCTTTCTTCGTTACCTCAGTCCACAGATGATAGGTGTTCTATAAGCCCATATTATTAGAATATTAGAAGTAGGAACACTGATGATTTTGTGAAAGAAATTAATGAGGGTAATTGTTGTACTCAC